TTAAATTTTCTGATAAAGATGCATAAGACCAGTGTTAATAATTCTTACAGAACGACAAAGCTAAAGAAAATTTAACATGCAATCGAGTTTTCATTTTGCAATAAATAAAAAAATATTCGCAGACGAGAGTGCAATCCGTTGAAAAAAACAAAGTGGCAGCTTTCAATAAGTGAGAATAAAATAAAACGTTCTCAGATCGTTGATGTTACAAAATTCCTAGAACAACTTGAGGCGCAAGTCAGATTGAATCATTCTAAATTATTTAAAATAATCCCAGTGTAATGAAGAAAAATTAAAAACCAGACTGAACGTTTTGTTGTGTAAGCCACAGCTTCTTCAGTAGAATTATTCGGATTTTATTAACAATAAAAGCAGAGAGTCAAAATTACATAAATTAGTCTGAAGGTCACTTGTTGGTAGACATTTGCCGCAAAAGGAATCCGCAAGCAGTAATCACATATTTTAGTAATGTCAAATTGTAGTATATGCTTAGTTCTATGCATGACTGTGTGTATGTTGTTTGTTACGTTGAGAAAGCGTCAAGATATGGTGGTCATAATACAGGATTGAAGTTGCTTTTCCGCATCATCTGTCTTACTTTGTTAGAGTCTGCCATATAGGTCATAAGTTCATCCCTTCTCTCCTATTCACTGCATTTGATATGCTTGAAATATACAGGATTTCAGAGGTCGACCTTGAGTTATGCGAATGAAAGTCATTTCCAAGAATTTCGACATTGTCGAAATCAATCTTATGTTCGCTGTCTATAGCACGCATTGCTATAGCTGATCTTTTTCTAGACTTTTTAATTCTACTTCATTTGAAGTTGGACGTTTCTTGCACAGTCTATGTTTATTCACTGTGAATTTTACCTGTCTATTACACTCACCTATATAGCAAGGTTCACATTCTGAACACTTTTTCCTGTAGACACGATTACTTTGTGACATTTTGGGAACCACATCTTTGACATTCATCAAAGCGCCGCCCATATTACCGCAACAATCAACTTCTTTCAATTTTTCCCCGCTGACAAAGATAAGCACATGCTGTCGTTTGTCGTTTATTCTTCTCTGTCAACCTCTTCTGACAATTTGATATTTGAGTGTAAGTCTTCTAGTTTATGTTACATTGGACATCGTCAATTACAGAGTCCAGACCTTCTGAACTCTTCTTATCATTTGAAAGTGTTCCGTTCATTCCATTTCAGTACACCGCATTTCACTGTATAAAACATGAGTCTACTTTAAACTTTAAATCTGTTCTTGACGATTTCTGAGCATTCATGTATTTCTTTTCCGAACCTTCTGTCCTGTAGACCACCTTTCCAGTTTACAAAATATCAAAACAACTGTAATTTATGTGTGGGTTTGATGCACATTTTATTTGGACTATAATCACACGAATATTATTATATACCATTTGATAAAAAGTGTCGAGTGTTTTACGATATATTATATAAACGTTTTATACGGTCAATAAAAATAGTTAACTTGAAAATAAGCAGTGTCGGACCATAACAATTTGAATTACAACAAGTGCAACCACTGTAACATTTAAAAAAAACAATCGTATGAAGTACTCTATGAGAAATGATTATTTTAGACAAATATAAACAATACAAAAGTCGCAGTCCTCTGTCGCGATCGAAGTGCATGTTTTTCAGTCAACAATATAATATATATATATAGTATGTATAATATTAAAGTCTATTTGCACGTTCATTGTTATCAGAAGTTTGAAAACGAGACAGGTAAGAGGTGATCGATAGTAACATTACCGTTTTAATCATGCATTTCAAATTTGCTTATGTATACACTGTAATTATGCATTCCTGCCGATGTCATTTGCGATTCTTACATATTTCTGTATATATGTAGTTTGACGATGAGGAGGGAACATAACGGATGTACCGTTGTGAAAATAAAAACATTTCCACCGATATCTACAAACGATTTCTCAGTAAGAAATACTTCAAAGCAAAAGGAATACAGCAAAAATGCATATTCGAACGATTTTGAAAAAGAGTTTGTTGAAGGGCCGGACAGGTCAACGTGCTATTTACTGTCAACTGAACGCACTGTTCTTCTGAATTGATTATCAACAAATTTGAAGTGCTGTAAAGCGACAACTGAAAAATGGGTTCTCTTTCGTGGTCAGTCATATGTCATGCTACTATTAGCCTTATAATCTCATTTCATGGTGTAACACCTGTATGCATACATGTCACATTCAATTCCCCATTAATTAACTGTGTGTTATTCATTCGCCATGGAGATAACGTATTTTCTTCAACATTCTATAGATTACAAAATGTCAAGTAAAACTGTGAGATCGGACATTTTGAAAAAGTCAAGTTTCGGTCTAAGACCAGGCGGCTTCCTGCACTTCTTCATCTGGGTAAGAAAGTAGTGATTCCTTCTGAAACCGTTTTACATAGATGATGATTGATACATTCTTAATGCTTCTAATGACAGTGGGAATGCTTGTCATGGTGAACAAAATGTAAGACTGAAATCCCTACTATGGTGAGACAATTTTTTCGTTTCATAGAAAAGGCCTATGTGACTGGATAACGGAGAATAAATGGATCTCAATTCTTTTGATGTAAGTTAAATTTAGGATGCTAACACCTAATGTTTCTATGCGGTTCTTTTACATACACCCAGCTTTTTGTCGGATGTAGGATTAATAAGGCATCAGGAGACAGCAGATTCTATGAAACCGTAGATGACTGAATATATCTGCTTTCTTGACCACACACACACACTGTTCTACAATCTACTTGCTAACTGTAATAATTGATAATAACAGTTGATAAGGAATTCTCCCTATTTCTGCGTGACACTATATCTTCACCAGATATGATCCACTACGCACCACATTGAAACATAATCCAAGTATAGCATTTATGAATTAAATGTCATTCATTGCTTTGAATACAGAAAGAACAACAGTTTTTGCAGAATAACACGTTACCGTTATGTATTTCGTTATCTTCTCATCATCCGCTCACTGCCTGTTTATGTGCAGAAAAGTTTTAACATACTTGCAACGTTTACAAGATATCAGTTGAAGGGAGGTTGCGGAATTGGTTAACAGTGCTCGGAAAATTAAGCTTATATACCTCTAACATAGAAAGTTTAAATTGAAACAAAGTAAATTTGTGCATACAATGGTAAAAGAGTAACGTAATAAAGGCGAGAGATGCGTTAGGTGATGATTGACTAATAAATTTGGTAACTGTATGCTGAGTTTAACTTGGTTCATAAAAACAAAGAGACATGCACAATTACACTGTGGAGAGGTGAAAGCAAAAAAATTTATATGATCAAACAAAAGACAGAATAAAGACCTCCAGTCACCAGAGCAAGGAAAGACTGGTAACTGCTTCTACCTGAACACACAGTTAACGTTTCAGGTGCCTGATTGAGATAGCTTCGGCAAACTTGAGGAGAATTAGGCATTTCTGTCAACAGATAATTTAAAAGGGTTTTGCAATTTCTAACTCATCATCGCTATCAAGGAGATGGCTGCTAATGGCATTATTGTAATCACTTTTTCCCTGGAGACATTGGTGTCTCAGTATACGTTCAGAAAATCGGAGGTACGCCCTTCTTTCTGCTCTCATAATGTAAATGGTCGTGCGGATAGACGTTAACGTGATAAGAGTATTTGTCGACTTTTGATTGCACCAAGCAGAATGTTGTCCAAAAGACTGGATTCAGCTAAGTTGCATGATATGCTGTGGGCAGTGATAAACTCACTCTTCTGTTGACTATTGCCGCAATATTTTCAACCTTAAAATCAAGTCGAGTGAAGAAAGGCTTTTCCTCACTATGACTTGTTTGAGATTTGACCCTTCACATATTCCATATTTGTTAATAAATCCTCAAGAGTAACGTAGTTTTCAACATATTTTCAAGAATCATAAATTCTTCCTCTTATTTCTCTGCACGGCATATTCTCCCAGCCCTGTAGTATAAACTATATATAGTATAGTGTAAAGCATATATATACTATACAAATAGTATATGCATAGTATAAATACATTGTTTGCTAAATCACAGACTCTATATTATTGAGTAGTGCGCGCTATCTAGAAAAGAACTATTAAAATATAGGTATTGTCTCTTACATGAAGGCCTTCCATAAAGGGCCCTCTGGGGACTACCATCTCTTAGGTGCTGAATGGCAATGTCAAGGAAATGGAACTGCCCATCATTTCATGCTACATAGTAGATTGAATACATGTACGTGTGTCCAACTTGGTAGGAAGCCGGACTTTCTTTGTTGCACAATACAAATGTGTCATCGTTGTATCGACAATTAGTTGTTGTTTCATCAATGGCATGCTTCAGCATTGTGTTTTTAAGGTTGAACATGAATATATCTGCTAATAAATGGTTAACGCGATTGCCTATAGCTACATCATCTATCTGGCAGCTAAAACTGTTGCTAAACTGGAATAGCACTTATATGGTTCACGTTAGTAGTAAGTGTTTGAATTGCGACTCTGACAGTAAGAGAAGATCGAACTTTTGCACAATTAAGGCTACTGAATGCAATTGATGAATTTCATGCGGCATACTGTATCAGACTATTGATGAAATCATTAAAAGATTGTCTTCGGTTCTCAATTCTACTGATTAAATATGCGTTTTGTATTTAATTGAGTATTTGTGAGAGAGAGTGGTAATTAGCAAGTACCTAGTGACTTGATGAGATGGCGAAGAAAGCGGTCAGAATGGAAGTATTCATCGTGAAATTTCATTCCAGTCACTTCTCTGAATATTCAGCAGCGAATTTTCACCAGCTGATTCCGTGATTTGAAAGATTCTGGGGGAGACGATTTTCCAGAAACGTCAATCGTAATCAACAGTCGCGTTAACACTTACTTCTCAATAATCACCCTTTGTTTATGACATGATTCTGTTTTCGCTTTTACCTAGATATAATGAGCAATGCAATAAATTATTTCCTTTTACATTACTCTTCAGACTACTTGCAGCACTTCCGATGTTCATCCTCGCATTACTCAAAATACTTAAAATTCGCCGTGATGTTGATCACTTTCTGATAGGATTCAGTGTAAGTTTTTTGAGTCAATCTTATCTAAGTCACCTGGATGAGGATTTTATGACTAAAGCTGAATTTACTTGCGTATGCTCCAAACGAACATATAATTGCTATCCATTTATGCCCCTTTGAATTGCGCTTATTACGAATTTTGTTTAATCAAATATAACTGAGGAAATCACAAATTAGGATTGTTGTGAGATGATACATTGCATAGGAAACACGCATGCGCTGATGCATGTTTCTAGCTGTGGTGGGTTGAATATTTCATCACCATGCAACATACATAACAGCGAACTCAATAGAAATAATAATCGCTCTATGAAGTTTGATAAGACTTATTTTTGTATGTTGACAAACAGAGCTGATCATGCAGCCACATGCATTTAACTCACAGACGAATCAGTTAACTGAAATGTGGACAAATCATTACTAACGTTTTTCAGTGTTCTGATAACGATTCTTACGAAGTCAGTCGCCCAAGTATAGATGGAACATAAGACACTCTAGATGTTTACAGGTTTCTTTTCACCAGGTATGCACTCAACCAGACCCTGAATAGATTATGCAATTAACGATTATGTTGATGACACCTATATCGTTGAAATTCCTATTTCACTCATGCCAGCTAGGAATTATCAAAGTACGTTAAATGTCACAATAGTTTATTCCTAGAAACAAGCGAGAGGGAGTTCCTGAAATGACGAAGTTGTAATAAATCAGTCGGAGTTGCATTGATGTATACTTCATTGCAATAAACAAATAATATAATTCTCAAATGTTTTTCTAGTTCCTACTATGTTCCATGGGATTCGCCACTATGTACCGGGGTTTCAATATCTTCAATGCTTCAATATCTTTTGGTGTGACGATAGCACTAACTACATTTGTGATCGTTTTGGCTTTATACCTGCGAAATTCATCCACTGCTTTGACCATCACACTATTCGCATTCATGTGCGTTTTGGTGATCACTGGAGTCATTGTGTACGTTGTTCAGATCATACTACATGTACCTCAGGTAAGATTTAAATAACTGGATTCTGAGATAGCCTCACAATGTATCATTCCCGTTAACACTTCCTAACTGGTGATTGTTGATTCGCATAATGCTACTAATGGAAAACAAAGATGTGGATTTTATGTATTTAGGAGGTTTAACCATTTCATTGGATTAATGAAGACGAATCGTGGGACGATCATCGTAAACTGAAGTACGGTGTAATTCCTGCAGACGTCATCTTACATCCTTTCAGTCCTCTTTTACGATCCTTGAGAGTCGTCAAAATAAGTTCAATGATAATTTTAATCTATCTATCCACCTATCTAATACAGTATTGTACCATATGTCTGATAACAGGTTATGGGGTTCATTCCATTGATTATAAACGGACTAGATGCGTCTGCAGTCACGCACTATCAACAGTGTTAATTAACTTTTATTAGATTTGAGTGAATGAGATAAATGTAAAGTGATATCTTCCAGGAATTATCGTTATTATAGTGTAAGTGCAGTGCATTCATAATAAACTCTAGTGGTGCAGTGAAAGTTCGGTGACAATGAGTTAAAGGCATTTCAGCATGCAGATATTAAATCCTGATTTTTGTTTAAAGTTTAACAAATTGTTTTCTGATGTTGAATTTTTTTGTGCCTAATTTTAGCGGATTTACACAAATACTATTGCAGTTTGCTTCGGCATTGCTGTGGTTTTAGTAAGTTCAAATTCAATTTTTTTCCTTCACGTTCCACAGGGGAACGTAGTGTAACAACAAAAGACAAGGGTCAGTCAACAGATCCTTTATTAAAGATAAATCAACACATATTTATAGATTTTAATGTACATTATTGTAGATTATTGTTAGTAGAAAATACAGTCTTTTGACTGATTGTTTCTCACAGGGAGTTAACCATGCATCTCGTTGTGGCTGTGTCAGATCATCCATATGCTAACTGTATCCGCCTTCGCAGAGGCTTTGTTCTCATTTTCTCACCACCAATATTGGGGACATAAACATTTACGTCAATTACTATCTACCACTTTTGGCTAGTAGCCAGCTCTCACCACAATAGGGCTTCAAGCTAGTGGCTTGAAGTTTCTGTAGCAGTGTTTGTTTTACAGGATAGGGTGGCTAGCCTCATGCCTAACCTTTCCTCTTCACCAGAATTATTTCTGGCTTAGCGAAGTAAAGGAGTGCTTTGGCCGATGATCGAACCCTGGACCATGTGCATGGTCAGCGTGCGTCCTAACAGCTATCGTACCGACGCACATTTTTAAATTAAATATCATGACAAAATTATTTGAGTTGAGTGTCACCTTAGAATCTGTGTAATTTAGAATGAGCCAAGTTGTTTTAATGATGCCTTAATGTTTCTTCACCGATATCCAATGTAAAATATAGTGTTTGTTAATTCATCTCATACTGTTAAGCACGTTTTTTAATGCATAGCAGCAAATATTGTAAGCGGAATGGAACTCGTCAGCCTTAAATCTTGCAAATTTCCACACACACGCATAGTTCAGTGATGCTGTGTGATGTGGAGTACAAAATTATTTCTCAAGGATGAAGACCACTCAGAAACATGTATTCAGTTCACTAGGCAGAAAGGTAATTATTCAACCGCGACAGCATTGTGAACCTCTTCCACGAGACAATTGTAACATATAGGCTTATTCTACGTTTCAAAGTTCGGTTTAGTTTTGTCGAATGCACTATTCATCGTTTGACATCTACTAGTTCGTAGACGAAATGATACACTGATTAAAATAATTTGAAAAGGCAATAATCTCCCATATGGTAGATATAATTCATTCAGCGTTGCTTATTTCCTACATTCTAGGCGATGTTCTTGACAATGAACAGACTGCGGCTTTGCATCTCATACAAGAGTACTTATTGCACAATTATATTTCGGGCATTCTGTTTATGGTTGGAAATTGATGGACTGTTCACAGCAATATACGCTTTCGTCGAAAATAAGAATTCACCATGCCCACAAAACCTTTTGACATTCATGAGTGCATAAATATCTTTTAACTTGTATATGATATTCTTCCAAAACATATATAATTAAAACGTGGATTCTGAAAATGATTTTTATCAACTACAGACTACAAAATGTTATAACTCAATACCAGCCTATTCACAATTACAAAATTTCATTATTTAACTTTGTCAGAGGCATTTAACATAAAACACGAGATAAAAGGGATTTGGATACCATTATTAGGGCACAGATTTGATCTAAAGTAGTCTCATGAAGGGACCAAGAACAATTTCTCCGAAATCCAGGTAGAGAATTCTTCGAATTATCAACTTTTAACTGAACAATTTTGAACACCTCGGTTGTTATGCAACACAGTAATCGATTCTCTCTGAAGCAACTACTCTGAGAATTCAGAATTGTTGGCAGGCGCTTCCTCATTTCGGTTGTCATGAGTCGAAGTTTGTTAATTCCGGTAAATCTATATCGTGAAGCGTCCTTTATATCTATTTCTGTGTGAGCAGGTCACTGAAAGTGTCTGGACTTTTAATCTCAGGACGGAGAAACAGCACTTTTGTGGATCTGGTTACTCATGTTCTTCTCGAATACTGCTAAAATTTTGCTGCGTTTGCTCGATTTACCAATACATCAGAAAATTGAATTCCCTTCTCTTCCTCATCAAATACGATGTGGTTGACTGGATCATATGTCATTTCTGAATCATCCTGTCCAATGACGAAGAAAGTGAGTAGGTCACACGTAGCCTCACTGTAACGATTGGTTATGTGGTATCGTTCGTATTAAGTTGATACCTCCTAACAAGTTTTCAGCAGTGCTACTTTTATACCCCAATCTCCAGATGAAATTTATCACCAGGTTGACGACTTCTGTTGCGATTAAAGGAAGAACACTGATTACTGGACATTCTCCACATGACGCTTTCAAATATGTCACATACTCTAAAGAGATTAGTGTATTTGACAAACAACGAGCTGATTTCTAAACATATTCTAGTCAATGAAGTGGCATTTGTTCCTTCAAACTCACCAGATGCAATATATCCATAATTGTATTGTCGGACTCGCTGATGCAGTTGTGACTGCACAGTTCTCACCGATTTCAAGATAACAAGAAAATGACACAAGAGTCAATACAGTTTACAATTTATTTAGGATAGCAAGCTATATACCTGTGTTAATCCTTTCGATTTGTTGCACACAATAGATCCAATGTCGCCTTGAATGAATCAACGGATGGTGCTGATACGACCTGTTCCGTTAGGGAGTTCCAATGGTTCACATTTCGATGCGAAAAACGGTTCTCCCGACGCAAACGATTCGACCGTGGTTTTTGCACCTTGAGGTGATGTCCTCGCAATTGGTTGGTGCTAGAAGGAAGAAATAAGAAATACTTATTGTTTCCATCCCACTATAAATAAAGCTAACAGACTGATGGCAAACTTGTGCGAACTTTGTGACCTTAATGCATGCGTTGTGTTTGTCATAAGTAATTTCCCCATAAGTTGCTTCCGTGGATTTGATTTATTCCTGATCATTTGAGATTCATCTGCAATACGAAACGATGGCGTGCCAAGTGGTCGAACTCAAAGACTTCAGCAAACAAGACAGCTTCGTTGATCATTCAGCTACTGGAGTTTAATTTATTGAACGAATTTGAAATAAATCCAGTTCTTACAATGCAACTTTCGAAAATAAACTAAGTGCGCTTTGGTGTTTTAACAGTAGATTAATTTGGCTGTATTTCTCTTGAGATATCGTGACCAGCGAAATCCACTGAAATGGGTGTGAGGCAACATTTTCTGCTGGTTCTGCTTTATTTTACGAATAGGAAGAAGTTTAATTGATAATTTGTGGAGGCATCTTCTGTAGCTTGTATCAGTTGTAAATTGTGTCATTCGATTTTAGTTTTAATTCTGCTGATGAAATCAGCATTATCTGAGCGAAATATAAAAGGCTTCATTGATGAGCACTTCATTGACGATGAGACAAGGCAAAATGTGTCAATTTAGTTTCTACACGAAACATACGGACCGCTGAGGTATGACACAAATGTGTCTTCTCTTTTAAAGCTCTGTTTACATTGGCAGTAGAAGTTTTTAATTAAGCTGAAATTAGAAGTTTCATGTTCTTATCCTCTCAGTGTTGTTATCTGGTCATAGTTTATTAAAGTCGCAAATAACTATTACATTTGAAAGTGTTGAGCAGTAGCCTCCTAACCTTAAAAATAAATTTAAAAATCATAAAGTTTTATTTCAGACAGAATGTGTATAGAGAACAGAAATTTTCACCGTATTTCCTCTTCATACAGAATTTACACGTAATCTAATAAACTGAAGTTAATTGGTGGATTGTGACTAGCAGTGGAATACAGGATGCCTTGGTAGGAACGTCATCACGGACTGCGGAGTGCAGTTGACAAGGCCAAATGCGTATCCTGAATTCCACTGCTAGTCACCATCCATCAATCAACTTCTAATAACAAGCCCAGACATCGTCGAACTATCTACACAAGAAGACGATATGTCACCTAAAATCGAGCACTTCATTTCAATCAACCGGCAGGCAAATCTTAAAATGAATTAAATAATCTAAAGTATATCATGTGACGTAGTATTCTTGCCTTTGAAAAAAGTACCAATCCCATTTATTTTGTTTCATCTCCTTCAAGAATTTCACAGTGTTTGCCTAGGAGCTAATTAAAAATGCGTGGGCATTAATGTAGCGATCATCTGATATGAGGGCATGATTTACACAATGAGAAATGCAGAAGCGCCTGAGCATTTTGATGGATAGTAATTTCGGTAGCCCATCGATTTAAGTGGCGCACCAGTAACCAGAGTGTTTCTGACTCAAATCGCTTATGGATTTGAATGTTTTGGTGAATGCTGCCACTCGTAGAATACCCGAGATAATGTAATTACTCGTCATTTATTCGGAGCAACCGGAATTGAGGCACATGGTCTTCTAAGAATTCTTGTTTCACCAGGCAATCAAATTCTTATATAGAAAATATCCCCATTTAGACATTTGGAAAACACAAAAGATTGAGCGAAGAAATATTTACTTTTCAATTAGATCCTCTTCTCTGGCTCTACTCTAATATATAAAGGACTTTTACAATACACAACAATTTACCAAACAAGTGGTGATATGTTTGTTAACAATATTTAAACAGTGAAAACGTTCTAGGACTTTCTGTTGATAATTTTCATGCTTAACTTCTCCAAAGATCCTGCGGTACATAGATCCATGAACATTAACATGATGATTTTCGAAAGATTTGAACTTTTATTTTACGACTGCAGACGCTGTCTTCAAAGTGTAACCTCTGTGATATGATTCAAATGCCACTATGTGACCACTTATTTTCCATCATCAACATTCGAAAGCTGAAGAAGGAGCTCGTTCAAATCTCTTCTCTCACCTTTCAATTTGTTAGAGATTCTTTTGCGAGAAATGAAGATGTAAGCAGTAAATATGTATATCTAGCTACAATATATAAGAAATCCTAAAAAGGGAATCAGATGTATCACGTAACAAAGCTATAATATATAGTGTGTCTGATGATTTCCAGTTCTTTTTGAGCGAAAAATGAGGTTTTCAAAAATTCTAACTTATTCTTGCCAGTGAACGGTTGGAATATATTGACTGAAGGCATTCACTGTCATTTTCACGACATAGCCAGTTCAGTTACTTTGTGGAAAACTTTG